ATTTCTGGCCAAAACAGAAACAACTGTTATTTACACTCATTCTGAACCATCAGAGCCCAAACAAGGAGGCTGGGACCTATTTATTGCTGGTCAATCAATGACAGCCAGGGTGACTTTGGTTCAAGGCATGGTCCTTAAAAAAGAAACCTAGCCTGTAAACCTCAAGATATCTTGAGAGGTTTCAGCAATCAAAATTTGTATTTCTTTGGGCAGAGTAACTGCAGGTAAGAGTATGATTCCCTATGTGGACAGAGGTAAGGTAGGCAGAAGAAGAATAATGTAAGATAAAGCTGGAAAGAGGTGTGTAAGAAAGTCAAGCTGAAGACCTTTAACTTTATTCAGGAAGCAAAGGGGAGACAATGAAAGGTTTTGAGCAAAAGAGAGGCATGACCATATCTATACATCAGGATGGTGTCTGGTAGTAGTGCAAAATATGAAGTTATAGTGGAGGAAGAGATTGGAGGCATAAAAACCCCTGGGAGCCCAAGGCAAGATGGGTGATGAGGAGCTTGTACTAAAAGTAGAAATGTAATGGTGGAGACATTGCAGAGGCAGAAGTTGCCAGCCTCAGTAAACGGTCAGTCATGAGAGTTGAAGGAGAAAGGAAAAGTCAAAGAAAACTTTAAGGTTCAGAATGTAGAAGACTAGGTGACCACAGGGTTAGAAGGAAAGGCAGTCAAGTCTGGTCATGGGAAATGCTGAGTTTGGGGTACCAGGGGCACAAACATGCGGTGCAGTTGTTTAAGTAATCAGAAGTAGGAACTGGAGCTTAGGATTGAGCAAAACATCTGCGCTGGAAGTCATCTGCTTAAAGATGAGAGCCAGAGCTATGAAAGTGAGTAAGAAGACCAAGGAAGACTATATAGAAGGCGAGGGTCGAGGACTGAAATCTGGGGAGGCCAGGAAGAAGAAGCAACAAAGGAGACAGGTAAAGTGTCACTAAAGGAATGAATTAGGCAAACTGCCTTTACGTAACCCTTCTCACAGCTATTTCTCAGAAATAGGGAACGGTTTCTGTGCCCCCCCCTTCTCTCACCCTTTACCCATGTTTGTAGGAATAATTGCTTATTCCTTTTCCAAATTTAAATGAGACTACAAGAGGACAGATCTGGGTATTTAAAATTATCATTTGAGAAAAGTGTGAAGAAATACCATGAAATTATAATACATCATAAACTATTTCTCTGACACAACCCATCCTAATCCTGAATATTCAATATTTCTAGCCAAGTTAACATAGCTAATTTTTAACTCTAGTTAAGGCTAGATTCCCAGATATAAAAAAGCAACATCCACTCTGACTTATGCTGTTATATCTTTTCATTGCTATTTCTTTCCTTTCCAATTTGTCTGCCTAACACAAGATCCTGTGCCTTGTTATCTAACATCTCTTTTATTTGGAAAATCAAATAGTTCCAACATATAGAATAAGGACACTTTTGTAATTTGGAGAGGGTATTTCTTAACATTCTTTAAGTCAACTATTTATTTTTAAAAATCTAGACTTGTGAGTTCATCAACTAAGGATCTCCTGATGCAGAAATTCCTCCCAGGCAGCCCAAAATTTCTAAAATGGGATAGTTTTAGAGATATGCCTAGGGGCACTGAGAAGTAAAATGCCTGGACAGGCTTACAGAGTCAGTCTGTATTAGAGGCAAATCTTAAACAAAGATAAAACTCAATCCACTTCTACTCATTGCACCAAAATGCCCATGTTTTGAAAATACACTCTTCAAATTCTAAAACCAGGTCTTGTAATCAATGAATTACAATAATATAGTACACACAGTGTTTTATAGATGGCAATATGTCTTAGATGCTTTTAATGAAAGCCTAAAAACAAAGTTGTCAAATATACACTTTCAATATCTACAGATAATCTTTCAGTGACTAAACTGACACTTATCCCACTACTAGGAATATGTCCAAAGGAGGTCCAAAGCATAAAGGTCCTATATATACCTAAGCCAAAATAGCAAAGTGGTAACGAAGAACTGGAAACAAAGAAGTAATTCTAAACAATGTTCTAAAACAAAGTCTTGCTAGTAACCTACTACTGAGTGTGGTAGAGTAGTTAGAAATCAATTTTTAAAAATTCAAATGTTCTTAACCTTTGATTATATTTGAGACCTTTGTAAGAAATGTGCAATAGAAATGTCAGCCACATTCAAGACCCACTCTTACTCAAGGCAAGACAGTCTATACAAAACAATCTATAGATTTAGAAAGATTAAAGTAAGGCTGAGTTAGTCATATAAAGTTCATTAAGCAGAGGGATGGATTAATCATTGCAATAGAAAAAGAAGAGAATGAAGTAGAGACATATTAAAGGAAGAATTAAAGTTGCACCTGTCTAAATTTGGGGAAAGAAAAGAATAAATCAAAGATCATTCCAAAATTTCAAGTGCAGATGACTAGGAGATAGGTGGTACAATTCATAAAGAGGTAAAAGTTTGGAGAATATGCTGTGTAGAATTCCCATAGAAAACAAGTTTTGGACATAGTGAGTTTGAGTAACTCACCATTCAAAGGGAAATGTACATTAAGCAGTTGAAGGTAATAGAGGGAGTGTTTGAAGACTGATCTGATGATGTATATTTGGGAGTTATCAGCATATGGGAGGAAGCCACAGAATGGCTGAAAATAACCTAACAAGGGTTCAACCTGCTCTAGAGGTGGCAGAACAGAACAAAATAGGAATCTCTGAAAGGCTTATTTCTGATGAAATGTAGTCATTACAACTATAATATGGGTCTCCGGTCCTAAAATGTTTGCTATCCCTTTTTACCTTCTTCTAATATTAATCTTAGAGAGTTGAGGACTGGAGGAGATAAACTCCTATGTGTCTCCAGGAAAAAGAGAATAGTAGTCAAAGGATGTGGGCTCTACTCCTGGCTCTGTTACTAATGAACTTAACTGATATACAGACCTTTAAAATGAGATCTATGTAAAAAGAAAGACAAATACAGGTATTCAATGAAAAATAACCTTGATAACATGTAGAACAAGCCAGATGAAGGGAGGGGAGAAGGAACAGATTAGAATTCTATTCAAAACAATTTGGTGCCTGGGTGACCTTAGGCAAAGTAGTTCCCTTCTTTAGGATTATTTCTTCATTTGCAAAATAAGCGGATAGAACTATATGCTCTCCAAGGTCCCTTCCAGCTCTAAAATTCTATAAAAAATACTTAAGATATTAATAAATACATTAAATAATATATATTACACAAAATCAAATGCCTTTTACAGTCCAATTATTATACAGCTTCTCCTGTCAATTTCTAGTCCTTGTCTAGTGTCTAGTTTCTAGGACCAGGAAATTGTTCAGGTATCTCTCTGTGATCTGGCTCTTTGAGCATTTACTAATCTTAATTGTAATTCAGAGAGGAAGCAAGGCACAGGGGCACTTATAAGTCCTGTATAAATGCTAATTATATTGTTATAATATATGAGAAGGCAGATACTAGAGTTTATACTGTTCTCTGTAACTAATACCTGAACTGGACCTTCTGGTTAGATATATTATCATATTTTCACTGACTTCTTTGACTCATGCTAAGAATTTATCTCCATTTTTCATAAGTGAAAGCTTTGTTTAGTGCTTAAATAATCCAGTAGCTGAAGTAATCAAAGCTAATCAAATACTAATAGGTTTTAAAATTTTATTACTTAAGTTTTAAATGGCAGATTAGATTTTTCTAATCTATTATGAAAATATATGTTGAGTGATATATGAGATCGCCATTTTTTTAAATTAACATTTATATGAGCAATTATACCCTACCCAAAGAGACAACCTTGATTGAGGGCTGATTTACATGTATATTTAAGAAGCAAGGAAATTTCCATATAGTCTGCATATATGCTTAAATAATATGATCAAATTAGTTCTTTTCTTTCAAGTAAAATAAAACATATGTTTTACACTCACAAAAGCCTTATAAAAGAGGCTGGCAAGCAAGTCTTTTTTTTGCTCTTACTAAGCATGTGTATCATGTAGTATCTGTTGAATAGTTTTGATCTCAAAAGATAACTTCTTCAACTTCCAAGGACTCTTATTTGAATTAAGAAGGCAGATTGAATCATCTGTATTCTTTCCTTCCTAAACTGGCTTTAAAAACTCCCGATTTTGGGACTTTGTCTCAAAGTCTTATCATCTTTTTGCTTTTTTAAAACTACCTTTTGTAGTAAATAGGACTACTTCGAACAAGACATTTTAATTGAAAAAAATTTCCCCAAATCAAAAGTTTATTTGTCATAGAGAAACCTTTAAAGAAAATTGTTGGGCCTTTAACTTGAAATATACATATGATCTAAATCAACTTAAATGTTTGTTATATTTTTAATTCATGTTAAATAGTTTTCGCTCTAGCTATGTGTACTCTGATATTGCCCCAAAATAGTAGTTGCCCTTTTTTTGTGGTAGTAAGATATAGTGGATGGTCGTCTTCCAGAACAAAGGACAAACAAACAAGAAGACACAGTGGAAAGGACAGCGATCAAGCTAAAAGTCTAGATCCTCGGGTCTGTTCCTCACTAGCTATGTGACTGGGCAAACTCCACAGACCTCAATCTTTGTTGCCGCCGACTGTGAAATGAAGAATTTGAAACTGATTATTTTTGAGGTCTCATCCAGTTCTAAACTTGTGGAGTCCATATTTTGTTTGCCTATATCATTACTGACCATTTTAACTACAAACACATTAACAGGCAAAGAACCACATCTGCTCATTTGTAGTGCATGTTGCTCAAAACAGAACTATAAATATGTGGAAACCTGACAGCTTTGGAGCCACCATATTCCAAAATACATTTTTCCCATGATAAAGTTGAAATGGAAAAAAATGTTATAGAAACTTTAACTCTAAAGCATAAAAATTTAAAAAATTAATACAAGTTTATCACAAAAGACTTAAGTGCAAACATTTAATTAAATTCCAATTTAAAACATGAAATTAAATGTTACTACTCTTTAAATTTTTTTTTTAAAGAAAAATTACCTTTCAAAAGCTGATTCAGGTCCAGTGTGTCATGTAAGACTTTTTGTTTATATCTGTTGTCCAAGTTGGATTCTACCGAAGATGATTTAGAGGTGAGATTGGGTCCATTTTTTTCTTTCCCTACTCTGGCTGATTTCAGATATTTTGAATTATACTTTGAGTCTTCGAAATTTCCAAATGTTTCTTGTCTCACATTTTCTTGCCTTTTTACTTTTGTTTTCTGATCATTTGATGCAGTCAGTTCAAATGACTGAATAGGACTGATGTCTGGAGTTGATAAAGGAGTCACATCAGTCACAGTATCTTCAGATTCCTCGGTGAATTCACCAAGTTTTGGCTTAGAATTTATGGATGGTGCTTCTGTTGACTTTTCTGATTTGCATTTTTGTTTTGGTGACAGCAGAGCTAAATCAGATGCACTTTTCTTTGAAGACGATTGAGGTGAATCAGAGAGGCAGATATCAGATTCTGTAGCTGAACAATCTGTATCTGTACTTGTAGAAGATGAGGAAGATGACGAGGTGGAGGAAGAAGAGGAAGATGAAGAGGAAGAAGAGGAGGAAGAAGAACTGATTTTGTTATATTTTTTACTTGTGCACTTTTTAAAACTATTAGATGGTTTAGCTGACTTGGGTCTGATACGACGTCTTTTCCCATCATCACTGCTCTCTTCTCCATCTGTATAGTAATCATCTTCTCCTTCTCTTACTATTTTGGGGATTCTAGATGGAATGGCCAAATGTATTTTTCCAGTTGTTGAAGTATTATATATATTCTTTGATCCCGAACATGCTGAGGATGAAGATTTTCCAGTACAGTTTTCTAAGGAGTGATGTTCTGATGATGTATTCTCTTTCCTTTCATTTCTCTTCTCAATAAGATGATCTTCCTTTGTAAGTACACCCAATTTAAAATCTAAATTTTCCACATCTGCTTCTCTTTTTCCATGTTTGTCATACTGCTTGTCAACTGGTGAAATACTGCTTCCACATTTCTTTTCCTCTCCATCAAAATCGCTATCAAAGAAAGAATGGTCTACTTCACCCTCTGACATATCTCCATACTGGTCCATAATAGCAAAAATATTCCTGAGAAAGCAGAAAGTGTTACTATCAGAACAAAGTAATTTTCAAATATAGTAGCTCTATAATGCCATCATATCCACAGGCAAGTTTCTATATTATAAATGCTATACTTAAATAGGTAGTTTCTCCTAAGTAATTTTCTATTCTTCCCAACCTGATGTTTAATATATGCATAAAAAAGCTGGTAATTCTTTTAAAATAGTTTGACTAAGTGACGACAAGGTCTACTAGTCTTCAAATAATTAATACGTATAAATACGAAGCATGGACTTTAAATCTAGGATCTGTGATTATTTAACATGACAAATTACAACACAGGACACATCACTGACAGTATCCAAGTAATTTCCTATTAGTAAATCCAGAAAGATATTAAGACTTTCAGGCAACAAAGATAATGGATTGCAACAGAAAGCACAGCCAATTACAAGCATCTTTTTGGCATGGGGGAATCTGACTGTCAACGAATTTCATAGTCTGGCTTCAATTTAGCTTTCCAGACTTATTTCAGATTACTTCTCCAGCCATCCTAGCCTATTGGTTGCTCTCCATTCAAGATGTTCCATTTCCATCCTCTGGGTCTAAGCACAGGCAATGCCAGAAATGCTCTTTCAACTCATGATGCTTGGCAGCTATGGGGCACCAGAGCACACAGAGTGCTGGGAAGGGAGTCAGGAAGACCTGAAAGCAAATCCAGTCTCAGACACTTATTAGCTGTGGGGTCTTGGGCAATCACTTAATCTCTGTCTGCCTCAGTTTTCTCAATTATAAAAAGGGGATAATAACAGTAGCTACCAGGGTTATTTGTGAGGATCAAATGCAATAAAATTTGTAAAAGTGCTTAGCACAGTGTCTGGTTATATAACCATATGCATTATGTATATCAACATCTATATCTATCTGTACCCATATATAAAACAATAGTTATATAAATGCTTGTTCCCTTCCTCTTCCCGCCCCCCTTTCCTAGCTCAGTTCAAGAACCACCACCTGCCAGAGGGTTTTCCTGATTCCCAAGTTGTTATCAATTCTCTTCCTTCCCAAATTACCTTCTATTTGTTTCATATGTATTTAATCATTTGTGTATGTAGTGCTTTCCCTCAACAGAATATAAGGGCCTAGGCATAGGTATCCAAAGTAGGTGATACTGCTCCCTGGGGGGCACTGGAATGATGGGGTAGGAAGGGGCATAGTAGCCTTGGGTACAAATGGGGGGGTTATTGAATAAAAAAAGGGTTAACCTAGCCTAACGCCAGGGGGGTGTTGAGTAATTTTTTTTAAAGGGGGCAGCAGACTAAATAAGTTTGGGAACCTCTGGCTAGAGGATAAAGATTTTTATTCTTGTCTTTCTAACCCTATCACCTACCCCAGTGTCTGTCATTATTAGGTATCTGATAAATGAAAAAACTGAAACAAATAAATTTATCAAGGGGCCCAGAAGGGAGAAATACAATTATACGATTAGCCTATAAACATATAACCCTGAAGTACCAAGGCAAAGGACTGCACTCCTTTTCATTCCCCACAAAACCATTAAGTTGGCCACAGATTTCTTTGGGAGAGAGGAATGATGGGGTTATGAATGAATGCAAGGAGCAGATATTTTTAAAAACAAAAGTATTCCTGCTCTCCAAACTATCATAATTTCAAATCACAGCTAATAATTCATGGAATAAAGAGAATAAGGAAGATGAAGAGAATGACAGTAATGAAATTATAAAGAGGGATGAACTTTAAAATTAATAATAAAGCAAAAAGAATAGAAATTAGACAATTTTCAGGCAAACCACTAGTGAAAAATTTATATTGTTAAAAACTGCACAAAATTTTCTTAATAGTAGTCATTCTCCTCTTAAATTAATTTGTATGACATAATGGTTTTTCCTTTTTTTAAAACAATGATAATGAATGAACTAATGAAATAATTTAGAAGGCCTCTATTTGCTACAAGGAGATTTATGAAGAAAAATGATACCAAATCAAATTTCTCTGGATAGCCTTATAAAGAAACTTGAGGGGCAGCTAGGTGGCGCAGTGGATACAGCTCTGGTCTTGGAGTCAGGAGAACCTGAGTTTAAATCCAACCTCAGACACTTGACACTTACTAGCTGTGTGACCTTGGGCAAGTCACTTAACCTCCATTGCCTCACCAAAAAAGCAACCAAAAAGAAAAAAAAAAGAAAAAAAAAGAAAAAGAGCAAGAAAGAAAGAAACTTGAGTCATTTAAAACTCCGAAGTCTTCCTAAAATTTTAGGCAGCAAACAAAATAACAATTAAACAGTTTTAATTATACTTCTTCCACTGAAGTCCTACTAGCACACCTCATCAAGGTTCTCTAAGGCTATGATGGCAAAGCACAAGCTTTGGCATATCCTATAGCAAATGACTGGCTGGACCATCACCAAGACAAAAGATTGTACTCATCTCATTACCCACAGAATACTTGTCTGATTCCTGAGGCAGTGTATCAAAGTTTAGACAGGCTCATCAACCCGTAGTGTGGTTCAACTACTGTTCTGTGGTCAAAGCAACTGGTGAAGATCATCTACTAACATGTGGAAAGGTTTATAAAGTGCCCAAAGTGATGAAGTAATGGATGTTTTATTTTTGTTATAGCTACTATATTGGTTATAAAGACAATTTATGATACATTAGTATTTTTATACATGCTATTTAAACCATAACCATACCTACAGAATTTCTATATAATCATTAAAAGTATAACTTTAATGATCCATATTTTACAGGACCAGGAAAATAAATTTATTACTTTCTGGGGGTTTACAGTTGTATCTTTGCTTTTATGTAATATTTATGTTTATGACTCAGGGATGAGTCTAGTCACAAATACTGTTCTTATGGGAAATTCTGATTCACTTTACAATGAGAATTTCCAGGTCATTATAGAGTAGAAGGTAGGGAAAGTAGACTTTACACAGAAAAAAAAAACCTGTCCTTTTGCTAGGAATCGTAATACAACTGTGCTGTGGCTTACTGGACCAAAAAATTTTCTCTGCTTCCCATCTTAAATTTGTCTCACTGACATCCTAAACTAAGTTGACCAACTATTATTGCAAAAGGGCTATGCAAGTGCACTAATGATTTATGTCATAGATCCCCAACTAATTCAGTATTAGCTGATTCCACAAATCATAGCCTTTGACCACAGCAACCTGAATTGGGTGGGAATGAGGCTATACCGCTAAACCTAGTATTTCTGTTGAGAAGGGCAATGGAGGCCAAAGCCAGAAAGCTTAATATGTCCACCTCAGGGGCATGCTGGCAGAATTTGTTCACTGAAGTATCTACCCTCTTCCCTTCAGTACAGAACTTAACTCAGCACACTACAATCTTTCACTACATTGAATAGCTTTCTCCCTACAAAAAGCTGGAGACTCCAACTTAGACTGTGATTTCAAAGCATCTGGAAATTATTTAGTTTCATAATACCCTCCTCTCTACCTTCTCCCCAAATCTTCCTAGAAATGACTAACAAATTAATATTTTAAAATTAATTAAAAGTTTTTTCCAAAAAATAATCTCATGACATCAGAATGTCATAATATTGGTTATATAAGAAAAGAGAGCTTTTTACTATTTGGTTATAAAATAACTTAATTTTTCTAATGTGATAAAGTTTCATACTTCAGAAACTTAAATCCGATTAGTCACCAGACTGCCAAAGGGGTCAGTCCATGACACAAAAAGTTAAAGAAATCTTTGATGTAGCCCAAATAAGTGCCTCATTTTAAAGATGAAGGAACTTAGGTTGAAAGAGGTTAAATAACTCAATTTAGATCATATACAAGAAACAAGTAAGACAGCTGTGATTTAAATCCAGGTCCTCTAACTTCAAAACCAGTGCTCTTTCCACTAAATCATGCTTCCTCTCCAAATTCTGAATTAGGAGAGGATCTTATGGTTTAAAATCAGCTCTTATAAAACAACTAGTTGTCAGCTTTACAGGAAACATAGAAAAACACTATTATTTTTTTTTTTGTTGAAAAGGATAAAAAGAGCTTACTGTTAAAAAAAAAAGATGAGGTTTTCTTTCAATTTCAAAATTAAATTCTGAAAGTAAAGCTGTTGGAATACAGTGAATACCATGGCAACATTAACTTCAATGCTGTAAGCAATCTCGTTAATTATTGTATAAAAACAATACTTTTAAAATATTTGATAATACTTGACACAATTAGAATTTTAGATTTGGAAGGGGCCTTAGAGATTACCTCATGCAACTCCATCTTAGATCTTAACTGTTATGCAAGCTTGGGCAAGTCTAGTGACAGAATTCAAGAGCAAATTTGTGGATGCAAAGTTAGGAAAGGTATCTAAGTTGTTTGAAAATATCAGTATTTTAAAAAATGACTGATACTTCATTTTAACATCACCTTCATTTACAAAGATAGCCTTCTCCCCATTCAACAAACCACTTCATTTAACATGAAAAGGAAGGAAAAAATCAAACAAAACTAACCCATACACAAATTAGGAGACTGACAGTATATGTAATGCTCCACGCCCATAGTCCCTCACTTTTGTAAAAGAAGCAAATTTCTTTTTCTCATCTTTTCTCTGGGGGCAGCATTGGTATTTTTTTTTTAATTTTTTTTTGTTTTCAACATTTACTTTTATAAGATTTTGAGCTCTAAATTTTTCCCCCTCCCTCCACTGCCCCCTCCCCAAGACAGCCTGCAATCTGATATAGGTTACACATGTACAATCATATTAAACATATTTCCACATTAGTCATGTTATGAAAGAAGAATCAGAACAAAAGAAAAAACCACAAGAAAGAGGAAAAAAAAGAGAGAGAGAAAACAGTATGCTTTGGTCTACATTCAGACTCCACAGTTCTTTCTCTGGATGTGGATGGAATTTTCCATCATGAGTCTTTTGGAACTGTCTTAGATCATTGCATTGCTCAGAAGAGCTAAGTCTATCAAAGCTAGTCAACACACAATGTTGCTGTTACTGTGTACAATGTTTTCCTGGTTCTGCTAATTTCACTCAAGTTCAAGTAAGTCTTTCTAGGTTTTTCTGAAATTCCCCTGTTCATCATCATTTTTATGGAACAATAGTATTCCATTACATTCATATACCACAACTTGTTTGCCTTTCCCCAGTGGAAGGGCATCCCCCCCAATTTCCAATTCTTAGCCACCACAAAACGAGCTGCTGTAAATATTTTTGTACATGTGGGTCCTTTTCCCTTTTTTATGATCTCTCTGGGATACAGACCTAGTAGTGGTATTGCTGGATCAAAAGGTATGCAGTTTTATAGCCCTTTGGGCATAGTTCTGAATTGCTCTCCAGAATGGCTGGATCAATTCACAATGCCACCAACAATGCATTAGTGTTCTAATTTTTCCACATCTTCTCCAATATTTATCTTTTTCCTGTTTTGTCATGTTAGCCATTCCGACAGATGTGATGTGGCACCTCAGAGTTGTTTTAATTTGTATTTCTCTAATCAATTGTGATTTAGGGCATTTTTCCATATGACTATAGATAGCTTTAATTTCTTCATCTGAGAACTGCCTGTTCATATCCTTTGACCATTTATCAACTGGGATCAGCATTGACATTTTAAAATTCAACATTTATTAAGCATGTACTCTGTGTAAGAGACTTGCAAGTTATCAGATACAAAGATGAAAAAAGGTGGTCTTTGTCTCAAGTGTAACTAACTGAATAAAAGTGGATGAAATAATGGATGTCAGCTATTATATTTAGGTTAAAATTTTAATTGCACTAATTCTGGCTGTAGGGTAAATGTGGCTTAACAACAGTTCATGTGGAATAAGCTCAACAATAAGACCTTGCCAACCTCTGCCACTCTAAAAAAAAAAACCCAACTCCATATTGTATTCAAAAAGGTATCCAAAATGGGGATATTTACAAGACTTACTTGACAACACTGTATGAGGATCAAATAATTTAATGGATGTAAAACCTTATGTCACATATTGTTATTATAACTAGGGAAGGTAACAGTTCCAATGCATACAGATGAAACATTACAGTTACCAGCATTATTTTAAGGACAAACTCAAAACATAAAGAAACAGGCATACAGCCCGGTGCAAAGAAGCTTAGGGTAGAATATGGCAGCTGACTTCAAATATCTGAAGGCATACATATAAAAGGAAAAGATTTGTGTTGTTCCAACAAGGTATAGTTATAACCTGTGGATTACAGAGAGAAGTTATAGAGAAAAAGATTTCAGCTCAATATAAGGAACAGCAATCATTTAAAAATTAGAATGGATTGTCTGATAGTGTCATAGGATTTAGAGCTAACAACAGGGTCCTAAGATATTATTTAATCCACACACCTCGTTTTATAAATGAGGAATGGTGAGACCCTAAACTGTTACATAACTTGCCAAATGCCACAAAGTATACAGGTGGGCATAAGAACACAGGTTCTCTCACTTTTAAGTCCAGCACTTATCCATTACACCACATATGTTGCCAAGAATGAGCGAGGTGGTGATTGTCAATGATGGTACAGAAGGGATTCCTAAAATGGGTGCTGGACTAAATGACCTTTAAAATTCCTTCCAATGCTACACTAAGGTTTTATGAGCTGGAACTAGGATCTGACTTTTATCTAGTAAGTTAAGTAGTCACATTTCCTAAAATTCCCATTTTCCCTAATCCTAAATATGTATATGTTCATAGTTAGACAAACAACTTCTATGATTTGCAGCCATGTGATTCAATCTACAGACTGATATTGAGAGAATTTACTATAAAAAAAGGTAGTGAGACTCAATTTAGTATTTATATTAGCCATGGAGGTCCAAAATAGAAGGATGATTTAGCTCATATATCATCAATCACCATGGGAAGGAGTTAAAATTAGGTTACTTCTTCCAAAAGTATCTTGCTGTGTATCTTGCATACTGTGAAAAGGTGAAAACAGATTCCTCCCAAATATAGACCAAGTTACCTTTAACCCACCCAGATACCCACTTGTGTGTATTTGGAAAAAAAAAAAAAGGAAAAGAAAAAGCCTTTTACATCACCAGGTAGCAAAAAGCCATACAAATTAAACAGCCTGCGATTTTGGGGGGGGGGGGCACAACTAGGTGAAGAGGGTAGCCCGAGTTCAAATCCGGCCACAGACAATATCTGTGAGGCTTCTGTCCACAAGTCACTTAACCTCTGCCTGCCTCAGCTTCCTCCACTGTAAAAATGAAGATAAGAATACCACCTACTTCGCAGGGTTGCTGTGTGGGATCAAGTAATATTTATCTGTAAGGTCCTCAGCACTCGTGCTTGGCATATAGAGGGTGCCTATTAAATAAACGTTTCTTCCCTTCCTTTCTTTTTCAAATGCCAAGTCCTCCCCCACCCACCCACCCACCTATCAGTGTTTTTAGAGAGGTAATGAAGCCTCCTTCTGCAGGCTGAATTTGCTGGGGGAGGGGGGGACGTTTTGTACAACGCGTTCCAGCTGGGCCACCCTAAGTCAATTACCATTTTTAAGGGTCTTCAAATGATGTAATGGGGAGCAGGGGAGGTCCCCAAGCAAGAACCTCAGTGCCCCTCTGGCTTCACCCTGAATGTCTTCCCCAAATTTCGAATGCCGGGACCCCGTTGGGAGCCCAGAAAGCTCCCCCCGCCCGGGGTGGGGAGGGGTGCAGGGAGCCCGAAGCAAGGGCCCTTCTCCCGGGGACAGACCGCGGCTTCCCCTCGGGTCCCTCACTCCCTGACCCCGGCTACAGGCAGCAGCATCTCCCAGTCCCCTCCTCCTCCATCCTTCGGCCTTCCCGCCCCGCCCCCGCGGCCCAGGCCCGTGCCCGTGCCCACAGCCTCCCTCCCCCAGGCCGAGGGGCGCGGTACCCACCGCCGAAGCCCGAGGGACGGCTGAAAGAGAACGGCAGCAGCGCCCGGCGAGAAGGGTACCCACGGAGGAGCCACCGCAGAAGAGGCCGTAGCCGCCGCCGCCACCCTCTGCTCGCGTCGCATCAGGGGCGTCTCCGAGCTCGCGGGCAGCCGCCCTCCGCCCCGCCCCCTCGGCGCCTTAGCCCTCCCCGGCTTCGCGCGCCTCGAGCCCGTGCGCATGCGCGCGCGCAGCAGCTGCTCCGCCCCGGGAGAGGAGAGCGCAGGGGGCGGGAGAGAGGGCTGCGGCGACGGCGCCGGCGCTATCCAGTTTCCGGCTGGGGAGAGAGGAGGAGGTGGAGCTCGATCTGGAAAGGGGTGGAAAGCGGAGCGGGACGGAGCGTGCGCGCTGCGGCGCGCTGCTGGCGGAGAGCTGAAGGAGGAGCTCTCGGGGGCCCGCCCCTGGCTGTGTGTTTTCCGGACTGCTTTCCCCGCACCGATTCCCTTCGCCGCACCCCCGCGGGCCGCCCCTGCGTGTTTCACAGAGCTGGGGCCAGGTGCTAGTCAGGGTCCTTGCAACCTCTGGGAGGAAAGGGGCCCGCGCCGGGCGTTGAGGGGTCAAGTTCAAGAGCGACGGTCTAGTTCAAGGGCGCGCGGGCGCTGCCGCTGCGGGGGGAGGGGTGGAACGCGGGGAGCCCAGCCTCCCGTGACCCAGTGACCTTGACCCCGTCCCTGCCTCGGACTGCGAAAGGGGTCAGAACACACGGTGCATTCTCTGGCGGCCCGTTTGCTTTCAGCTCCGACACACGTTCCATCCGCCCGCTCCGTCTTTTGTTTCATTTCCAGCTTTTTTTGTTTTCTCTTTTTAAACATCACTTAGGTTTTCTCAATGATGCTTTCTCCTCTTTCCTCCCTCCCCCTCTGCTCATGTCTTTCCCTTGCAGATGGCCTTAGTCTGTTCTGTGTATATCTTTTATATTTAATATTTAAATAGATGTGATGTATTTTATTTTTATATTTTATATTTTTACAGTGGATTTTATATTTTTTATGGTGTCTCCAAGAAGCTCTAGCATGTGCATCGGCCACACATATTGGCAGGTGGGCGAAACCAGGTTGAGAGTAACCAACTAGCCTCACACTAAATTGGGGGGGGTGTCTACCCCAAATATGTGAAGACCTCCCCCACCGGAATGAGTGCATGAGAGCACTTTGGTCCAATGGCCATGAAGGAGCTGAAGCAAGTGCTGAGGAATGCTTAGAGCTTGGTCATTCATCAGAGACACACTGAGGTCAGCGACTTCATCCAGCTGGCCATGCCTAGTCAGGCCTGACTTAAGTCTTGCCACTGGGTGATGACTCTAGATGAGAGAGTGAGGCTGAGGACTTTGTGCAACGCTGCCTCACTTATATCCAGTTCTCTCTCACACACACAAACACATGAGTCTAGACTTTTGTGATATCATTGGTCCTCTGAAAAATGAAGGACAAACAACATTCCCGCCTTACAATATAAGCTCATTGAATACAGGGGCGATGTATGTGGTTTTTTTTTTTCTCATCAGTTCCTTGTAATCCTGGCCTTCCTCTACTCCATATTCATCTTTATTTACCTAGCTGCTTGCCCCTTATCTCCTCTATTAAAATGTAAGGTCACTGAGGCCAGAGGCTATGTGGTTATTTATTTATTTATTTATTTTTATTTTGGTGAGACCGGGGTTAAGTGACTTGCCTAGAATCACAGAGCTAGTGAGTGTTATCAGTCTGAGGCCAGATTTGAACTCAGGTCTTCCTGAATCCAGGGCCCATGTTCTATCCACTATGCCACCTAGCTGCCCTGTGGTTATCTTTTTTTAAATTTTCTAAATGTTTTTGTAACCCTACTCCATATATCTTTTATATGCCTAGCTGTTTATACCTTATCTCCCTCATTATGATATGAGGTCCTTGAGGGCAGGGACTGCGGTTTTGTGTGTGTGTGTGTGTGTATTTTTTCTACCTTCCTTTGTAACCCTGACTAGGCAGCACAGTACCCGGCACTATAATGAATGTTTAAATAAATACTTCTAGATTTGACACAAGCCATGTCTGCCCACATGCTTTATTCAGAACCCTATAGTACATCACCTCTTTTGGGGAGAGGAAGGAAAACTTGCTTTGGTGTCTGAATAGAACATTGGCCTGGAGTCAGGAAGACCTGAGTTCAAATGTGACCTAACTGTGACACTGGGCAAGTCACTGAACCATGTTTGCCTCAGTTTTCTCAACTATCAAAAGAGCAAATGAGAAGGAAATGGCAAACCACTCCAGTATCTTTGCCAGTATCTCACCTCATAGGGTCATAAAGAGTCTGATGCAACTGAAACAACATATATATATATGCATGTATGTGTACATACATATATACATATAACCTATATGCTATATACACACACAAATATATGCTATATGTATAATTTATGTCATATATATATCTTTAAGACTTACAAAGCACTTTACATGTATTATCTCATCTGGTTCTCATAACTCAGTGTTATTTTTATCCCCATCTTACCCATGAAGAAAATGAGACAGAGGGGTTAAGTGACTTGCCCAATAATAGCCATCAAATGTTTGAACTCAAATCTTCCTGACTCCAAGGCCAGCACTCCATCCGCCTAATCAGTTGAGTCAGTAAGCTTTTATTAAGTTCCTACTATGTGTCAGGCAGGTGAAACACAGTCCCTGCTCTCAAGCCCTCACAATCTAGTGGAAGAGAAAACATGCAAATAACTATGTAGGAAGATATATTATAATGGGATAAATTGAGGGTAGGCTCAGAGGGAAGGCATTAAGATTAAGGAGGCCCAAGAAAAGCTTCTTGCAAGTGGAGAAGAGGGAAACACCATGAGCCAAACACTGAACTAAGCTGAGGAAGGAAGGAAAGTGTCATGGAGGTCAGTAGACAACAGCTACCAGACTCTTTATTGGGTGATAAATATGGATTGAATGAACCACAGATGAGAAGTTACTGAATGATGGTGGGAGAGGGAGAGACTGGAAATAGGAATGGGGATCAAGCAATATTCCAATCCCACCATCGTAAACAGTGAATGGTGGGCTGTGAATGAAAGTTTAAGTGTTAGAAGCGGTAGCTAGGAGAGCTATCATCAAGAGGGAGCCAAGTCTCAATGAGTGCAAGAACACAGGGAGAGTGAGAAAAGAAAAGAAAAGGTTTAAGATGAAAGCTAGTTTGTTACCTATGGAGCAGACATTCCAGAAAGCACTTCAGATGGTTCTAGCTTTACCTAACTGCAGAGAGTTTCATTTCCCAGGAGTTCCTGTGCCAATATAATGACAAGTCTAGTCCCTATCCCCCACATCAGTGGTTTTAAGGGGGTCTGTGAAGTAAAAACTATTTCCCCAATAGTATTAAAACATCTTAATTTCTCATATGGTAAATACTGACAGATATAACCAGTGGTGTGCTGGTAAAAATAACCAACTCTTGGGGGAAAAAATGTACCCACAACACACTTTTAAGATTAATCTGCATTACGAATATTTTCTCATCACTTTCTTAAATCTAGAGTCCAGAGGTGGCCTCAAGGCCACAGGTTCCCTATCCCTGGTCTAGACAACAAAACAATAAATGAAACCCTGATTTGTAGCATTTGTTGATTTCTGAGGTATAAATGTTCACACTGAAAATTTTAAATTGGTTCGCAAGATGACTCCAGAACCCTTGGATATAAGCAACATAAATGAAAATTTGGGGGGAAGAGTGAGAGAATCCTCAATAATTTTTAAGAGTGTAAAGGGGTTCTGAGGCCAAAAAGTATAAGACTTTAGTTTATATTTTGTGAATGAGTATAATTTTTTTAAATAATATTTTCCTCCAATTACATGTAAAAATAATTTTTAACATTCATTTTTTTTTTAAGTTTTGAGCTCCAAAGTCTATCTCTCTTTTCTTCCTCTCCCTCTTCTCTGATACAGTAGGTGATGTGATATAGGTTATACATGTGAAATCATGTAAAACATTTCCATATTAGTCACTTTGTACAAGAAGACTTGAAAACAAATCAAAAAAGAAAGTGAAAAATAGTATGCTTCAGTCAGTATTCAGACTGAGGTGGGGAGCCTATGCTTTGGAGGTCATATGTGGCCCTCTAAGTCCTCAAGTGAGGCCCTTTGACTGAATCCAAACTTTACAGAACAAATCCCTCTAATAAAAGGATTTGTTCTGTAGAATTTGGACTCAGAAGGCTGTACCCAAGGACCTAGAAGGCCACATGTGGCCTCGAGGTCACAAGTTCCACACTCGATTCAGACAATATCAGTCCTTTTTCTGTAGGCATATGGTAAGCTTCATCATTAGTCCTTTGAGATTGTCTTGGATCATTGTGTTGCTGTGAATAGCTAAATCATTCATAGTTCATTGTACAATTGCTGTTACTGTGTACAATGTTCTGGTTCTGCTCACTTTACTTTTTGTCCATGTAAGTCTTTCCAGGTTTTTCTGAAATCATCCAGCTTGTCATTTCTTATACAAAAAAAAATCCATTACAGTCATATACCACAACTTGTTCAGCCATTCCCCAGCTGATAGGCATCCCCTCACTTTCCAACTCTTAGCCACCACAAAAAGAGCTGCTATGAATATTTTACAAATGGGTTCTCTCCTTGCCCCTGCCCTTTTCAAAGGGTATGCATGGTTTTATAGCCTTTTGGGCATAGTTCCAAATTGATGACGATAATTTTTATTTTGGGTTGGCCTCTGATTTCATTAGTGTGGGGAAACTCCAGGTGTGGAACCTCCTTTCATTTATGTATATCACCAACTCTAAATTTCTATAAACTTGGTTACAGAGTTGCCTGGGACACTGAGAGAAAAGTAGATGTCAGAGGCCTGAATTCAACTCAAGTCTTCCTCTCAGTCATATTCCCCCATTCACTAGGCCTGGCTGTCTTTCCTCATAATTTTTTTTTAAAATAAAATTTTATTTATGGAGCTAGCATGATATAATAATACGGTCTTTAGTCTTGGAATCAGTATCAGAATGTCAGGGCTGGAAGGGATCTCAGATGGGCAAATATTTGGCAATTAGGTCATTGATTATTTTTGAGGAAGCAGTTTCAGGGAGTGATTTG